TCACTGATCTTTTTTCTGCTTCATCTAGTTTGCTGTTGAGCCCTTGTAGTGTATTTTTCAGTTGAATTATTGTATTCTTCAGCTCTGTGACTTCTTATTTGGTACTTTCTCGTGTTTTCTATCCATTTGTTAAAGTTCTCACTGTGTTCATCCATTCTTCTCCCTAGTTGAGTGAGCATCATTCTTCTCCCAAATTGGGTGAGCATCTTTATGACCATTGCTTTGAACTCTTTATCAAGTAAATTACTTACACATTTCATTAAGGTTTTTTCCTGTTTTATCTTATTCTTTTGTTTAGAATATATTCCTCTGTTTCCTGATTTTGCTTGACTCTGTGTTTGTTTCTATGTATTAAGTGAAACACCTACCTCTTCCAGTCTTAAAGGAGTAGCCTTGTTTAAGAGATGAGTGTTATTGTTCAGCCTTGTCTAGCTCTTGGTAGGCTCTTGAACCTTTAAGATTCCAAGCAGCCTGTCTTATTTTTAATATAAAGCTCTCATTGTTGGGGGTGTGCCAAGTTCTATCTGCCCTAAAGTGGAGGATCTCAGCACCTAAATTCAGGCTGATTGGAAGCCAGACCTTCAGGTAGCAGCTTTTGAGTATGCAAATATATATAGTACTGTGGGACCACAAGCATGAACCCTGCTAGCCACTAGACTAGGTGATCCGGAGGTGTTCCATCGATGACGTTAGCAAAAATCAGGGCTCCAGACAAGTGTATATTCTCCTTTCTGGGAGATACTGGAGAGCCAGAGCAAGGCAGAGGGAGAGCACAAAGGTTGTGTCCCCCAGCCTACATTCCCTGAGAGCACCCCCATAGGCCTCTAGATGTGTGCTAAACCTGGAAGCCTGTGCCTCAGGCAAAAGCTCCAGGAAAAACATATACACTTCTTTCACAGAAAGACTGGGGGTGTGTTTCAGTCTACTGTCTGTGCAGTAGTGTTTTGGGGGTGGTAGTCTGCCAAGAACTGATTGTTACAGTCCGGAGGGACGCTGGAATGCAACCCTCCCCTAACCCCCAGATTCAGGCAATCAAGAGGCATCCTGTGGGAAGCAGCCCCCAAAACTGGGGCACCAGACATGACCAGTGCACTGACTACATGTACAAGCTCCCCTTGCAGAGATCCTGGCATTTTGGCCAGCTCCACATTTGTACCCTCTCTAGGATCAGCAAATGCTCTCAGGGTAAAATACCAGAATCATCTCTTTGGCCTTCTGTACTTGCTTCAGTCCTGACTTTTTAAGTCTTCACTATCTTACAGATCTCTTGTGCCTTCTAGTAGACATGTTTAGTATTTCTGCCCAGCTTTTCTAATTGTCCTCAATTTTAGAGGACTGGTCTGAATTACCTCGTCTGCCATCACTGGAAGTGGAAGTTCTTTCAGTTTTGTTTTTAACTATCAACACAGTGGTTAATCAGACCTAGTCAACATCTCTGATACCACAGTGGGTTAATATATATCCAGTCTTCAGCCCCCAGATCGCCGCTGCTCCCTTTTCAGACCCTTGCTGGCACAAGGAGCCCAGATAGTATCTGTGTTGCAACATGCTGGGGCCTGGCTGTTTAGGGATCAGCTAGAGTCTTATTCCCTGCCCTTATGGAGCCTGCAGTCTGTCCATTCCTTCCTAAAGCCTCCAACCTTTGTAGGCCATTATTCACTTCAACATCAACATTCTCTCTCCCCAGCTGGTCTGTTGAGTTGCTACTGTCATGATTTCAACTGTCCTTCCCCTAAGTAAACTCCTTTCCAGACTTCTTACTGCCCTTGGGTTGGAAAGGGTCACTCTGAGCCCAGGCATGCTAGTCTGGCCCTGTTCTCTCCAGCCTCATGGCTCATAAACCACTCATACCCCAGTCCCTGAATGTGTTCTGGCACATAGTAGTTTGTCCTCCAAGACTCAGTGTCCCCACCTCTGGTAGCTCTTTCCTGGTTCTCTGAGGCTGCATCAGTCCGAACAGACGCTCTGCTTCTCCGGGTCTGTTTCCTCGGCAGGGCAAGTATTTTGAAGGCAATGTCAATGTCTTACTCATTTCAGCATCTCTAGCACGTAGTACATAAGTGGTATCAGTTCAAGTGGAATGATCTCATTTCTCAAGTTCCATGTATCCCTTGATGCATTTCTTCTTCACCTGTCTCATGAATCCTTTTTCCTGGGAATTCCGGTCACTTTTCTGTCCCTTAATGGGAGGCATGCCAGCTACTGGTCTGCTTGCACCGCCCCCCCCCCAACACACTGAGTTCACAGACCTATGGGATACCCTGACAGTGGACCGCCACCTGCTGGTCAGTAGGTTTTTAGGACAGTGACAGCTCAGGGCTGCAGACAGAGTAGGGGTCCTTAATTTTAAGGCATTCCATAAAGAATGTAAAACGCTTCTAAGAATAGTATTGTCAGATCTACAATATAAAGCACATAGATTACAAGTGAAACAGTCATAATGAAATGTAGGTATCAAAATGTTAGAAAACATATATTGCTTATAGATGTGATATGTATGTATATATAATGTGATACACACATCTCAATCTTACTTAACAGGATCTAGTGATTGGTCTGATAACTACTGTTATTTCAAAGTGCTGAACAAACATTTTGAGATGTCTGCACAGCGGTCTTGTGAGATGAAATCTCTGATTTCTACCGCTGACAGTCCCAGGGACTGCTTATACTACTAGAGTTGGTTGCCTACATCCATACAGACAGGAAGTACTGAATTTCAGTTAGAGGTTACTGAAACTAAAAACCAAATCTTTTCCCATCCAGGTACAAAGACACCCTAAGTTCTACCCTCTGATCCCTTGTTGGTGATAGGGGAGGTCTGTGGACCCCAGGTTAGGAACCCCTGAATGGGGCTTCAGAGGCATGGCAGAAAAATGCATTTAAATACAGTGACTCTTACTGAGTGTGTAATGGGCAGCTGCGAGTAGGAGAGGAGGTGTGGTGGAAACAGCACCTCTAGGTCTAAGTTTGAATTTCATAGGCATCATTTACCAGTATTGTGAAGTTTGGCCCAAACTTCCCCTTGCTGTGTCCATTTCCTCGTCTATAAAATAGGAATGACAAGGTTTTCCTTGCAGGTTGTTAAAAGGATTTAATAAGCTAACATGTGAAAACTCCTGGGGGTCAAATGTTTGATGTTAATGAGAATGTTAACGTTGTTAAATGTCTGTAGAGCGCGTGTGTGCGTGCACGCACACACACACACACACACACACACACACACACACGCATAACTTCTTACAAAACAGAAACCCACCCCAAAGTCTGACTGGCTGTGTGACTCAGAGAGGTAGTAAACCCTTTCTCGCCTGGCAGATGTGGATAAGTCTGCCCTGCTGTTTCCACCCTGATCTAAGAGAACCACCACAAATGCAAATAGTCTCTCACCTTGTTATTTTATTAGAAGCATATTTACATTCTTGCAGTTAAAGTTTGCAGAGAAAATTTTACAAAAGTTCTGTATAAAGTTTTGAAATGACATAAAAATAACTTCTATCCTTTATAAAGGGAAAATATAAGTTAGTTATATTTACTCTGCCAAAAACGGACTGAAAACGAGAAACAGTTCCATCTGTCCCTTACAGAGGAAACATTAGCACAGGGCATGAGGAATACTGTGTGGGCCTTCTCACTGATGGGTATGCACCCTGGCTCCATCATGAGGCTGGAGGACCCAACCAGCCCCCCTCCAGAAAGGACAGGGGAGCTATCAGGCCTTGGGCAGCACGGAACAGGGAAGGAGGAAATCCTTAAGTCATGTAAATGACGAGCCAAATAGGGGAATGATCAAAGACTTTCATCTGAACCATGGCATTTCACCTACTCACTCTCACACCCCAGGCTGCAAAAGGCAATATTGTAAACAAAGCCAGTATCAGCCCTGCCTGACCATTTGCCAGTGCTGGCCTTGTCTGGTGGAACTCTGTCAATGTTCTGTAATTACACTGCTGCTAGTTCACATTTTCCCAGCACCTGTGCACCAAAAGGAATAGACAGGGACGATGGTTTCCCTTGTCTCACATGTGTGAGATGAGAAAACTGTCCCATCTGGGTCAAATACTGAAGCAGACAAGCTGAATGTTCGCTAACTTAAGAGGACCCTGCCTTCCCACAGCCCCCAGAGCATCTTCACTGTATACATAAGCCTTGGGAACCCCGAGTCGCTTCTTGTTGCATGGCTACCCACCCTCCCCAAGATCCAGTTCTAACCAGCGCCACAAAAACTTCAAGAGAATTGCTTTAGGACCAAGCATCAAACCTTAAACATTTAGGAGTGAAGGAAATCGTCCTCCCTGGATCTTAGCCACTCCATCACCAGCAAAATGGTACCCAGACTTGATAGATCATCCATAGGATTCCTCAAAATCACCTTCAGTTTTGTTTTAAAGCAGGTATCTTCCTATAGAAGCCATTCATTTATATTTGTTTCAAGTTAGAAATCAAAGTGAACAAAGTTTTCTTTGTAGATAAACTGAATGCCTGTTTAAGCATGACTTTTACTAGGTTATCTACATCCAGCAGCCTGTGGGAATCAGAATCTGTCGGAGGCCAGCTGAGTAACCCAAAGGCCCATGATTCCATCTGAGATACAGAAGCTTTGCATCCGCTGTGTTGCTGGGGACAGGAAGCATTACATTTCTCCTTGAGGCTTTTTCTTCCTCAACAGAAATCCCAGTGACCACCAGCCCGTGTCTCCAGTGTAAGGCCAGACTCCTGCTAGGAGAGGCAGAGGGAAGCAGCCTTCCCATATCACCTGCAGACAGGACGGGCAGGGGTGAGACAGCAATAGCATAGGCACAGTCTTGTGTGGTGCAGAATTTACCCCTGAACACAGGAGCCTGTCTGGGGGCCAAAGGGAATCACAGACTGGCAGCTCAGCTTGTACCATTTATGTGAGCACCCAGCACACTTCACACCAGTGGCTTCACCTACACATGCTCAGTGGCACAGGCTCAGGCAGTGAATGTGTTTCAACCCACCTGGCACAAGAGGCCTAGGGCAGAGGCAAGCCTGGGTAATGCCAGGGGGCCAAGCCCTATGTATGTGTATGCAGATGTGTCAGGTAAGGCGGGGGGCACAAGGTGGCACGAAACACCCAAGACCAGCAGAATGAACAGTTCAGGCTCTCCTTGATCCCACTGTTGTAGATATGGCCTTGTCTCAAGAGAAAAGTAAATCGGGGGTTACTGGAAGGATGAGGGCACCCCCTGAGCAGCTGGCTGCAGGGTGGGCTTCACTAGGAACCAAAAGGGCTGCTAAGAGTCATGGTTTTTGTCTAATACTAGAAGGAATGGCTGAAAAGCTGGCAAGAATCACAATATGGACAAATTCATCATAACCAGCGGCAGCACTTTGTGCCCACAGACAGCAAAACCGGTGTTTCGGCAAACAAGAGGGCCTCAAGGCTGCAGAACACCGTTCCTCCTGGACCCTGACCCCACTAGCAGCCCAGGTCACTGACAGCTTCAAGAGATGTGGGGCTCGAACAGGACATACATTAGGCTCAGGCCACACATAATAAAACCTCGCCCTCCATAAGTGAGCGAGAATTAAAGAACACTAGGATGGGTCTGTTGGGCACAGCTGGGGTAGCACAAGGCAAGGGGCTGGATTCAAGTTGTCATGGAAGCAAGAGGGAAGGGGGGTCCTGAGTTACTTGTTCACAGAGAATGGGTGGGCCTTGGAAGCCCCCCACCCTGGAGCCCCAGCCCCAGCTGGCTGTTAAGAAGTATCCACAGAGCTGTAGGGGAAGAACTTGGTGGCCTTATTTGGGGTGGTAGGGTTCAGGCATTCTGTCTCCTCATTCATTTTGAAGAACATCTCCTGTTCTCGCTTCTTCTGGTTCAAATCTTCTTCCAGAGCCTAGGACAGAAAGAGGGCAGACAGAGTTCAGTCAGATCCCATAGGACAGGTCTCCCAATTATAGGACCCCCACTAAAGTGGCCTTCTCTGGAAACTCGCCCACTCTCCGGGCCTTTAGTGCATGGTAACTTAGTCTTCCCTCTTTCCTTTCCCAGAGCCGGTCACCCAGAAGATAGGTACCACCTCTTGCTTCCTTCTGCCACAGCATACAGGAGTTTGCTGTGGGCCAAGGGCTATAGTTTGGTGAATGCCAACTCAGTGAGGGGGGAAGGGGGCAGATGCCAGTCTCCTGGCAGGAAAACAGCCAAATGAATGGAGAAAGACCCAAGGTAGAAAATGGACAGATTTAACAGCAGGAGGCAGGGAGGTGGGGGGGTGGGGGCTGGTGGGGGCAGAATGTCCAAGTACATAGTGTTCCTAATGAGAGCACTGCCCACAGAGGTCATCCAGGACGTTGTTTTTAAAATACATGTGCCTTCACACCACCCCCTGAGATTCTGATTCTGAAAATTTGTGGTAGGTGTGGTAGGACAGGGGTTCTGTGTGTTATAAAAACAGAAGCAGAGTGTCTAGTTGACCATTACTGCAGGAGCTTCCCTGGGGCACATGCAAGTTTATCTAGGTAAATTGGATCCTACCAGAAAAATGTCTTGAGGGGTGTCCAGTAATAGGCATTCAATTAAAAAGGGAAGCAAAGTGTACTGGAAAGAACATGAGCTTTAAAGTCATACCAAATTCAGCTTTCTTATTACCAGCTGTGTGGCCTTCACATGTCACCTTTCTTCCTATGTAAAATGGCAGTATCACTACCTATCTAGCAGGGCTGTTGTGAGGATTAAACTAAAAACTAATGGTTCATAATTATTGAGTACTTCCTACATGTCAGGTGCTATGCTAAGTGCATTACATCTTATTCAGTCTTCACCCTATGAGACAGATACTATTATTTCCATCTTATAGGTGGAGAAACAAGCTCAAAGAGCTTAGATCACTTGCCCCTGGTTACTCAGCTAGCTAGGGGCACAGCCAAGATGGGAACCTACCTCTAACTTCAGAGTTAAAGCTCTGAAACACTGTGGTCCACCATCTGCAAGGCCAGGCAGACACCCAAGATGCACAGTAAATGTGGCTTCATTATTAAGCATCTGACCGTCAGCCCGATTTCCTTATTTTCACAGGATTTGACCAGCCTTCTATTTGTCTTTTTTTTTTTTTTTTTTTTAAGATTTACTTGTTTATTTGAGAGAAAGAGACAGAGAACGAGCAGGGGGAAGGGCAGAGGGAGAGGGAGACAAGCAGACTCCCCACTGAGCAGGGAGCCTGATTTGGAGCTTGAGCTCAGGACCCTATGACCAGAACTGAAATCAAGAGTCGGACACTTAACCAACTGAGGCACCCAGGCGCCCCTATTATGTGTCTCTTTTTAAGACTATTCTTCGGATGCCCTGAAATAGTCAACAAATAATTACCAGATCCTCCCTTATGCTCTTATTCCTTTAGTAGTACTAAATTCTAGTGAGTTCTCTATACTTCAAGGAGAGATGGGGAAGGGACACTGGATCACAATACCAATCTTTCCAATCTGTTATAGGATGTCCGTGTGAAGGCAGGCAAGGTATTTGAAGTCATGCCTCATCTTGGACTTGACGGATTTGAAATTTCTGGTAATTCACACAGATTCTTGGCTCAAGTTCTCCTTTGCTGGATGTATTAATATTAAAGTGTTCGTGATAGGGCACCTGGGTGGCTCAGATGGTTAAGCGTCTGCCTTCGGCTCAGGTCAGGATCCCAGGGTCCTGGGATCGAGTCCCGCATCAGGCTCCCTGCTCCTTGGGAGACTGCCTCTCCCTCTGCTTCTCTCTCTCTCTCCCTCTCTCTCTCCGTCTCTCATGAATAAATAAATAAAATCTTTAAAAAAATAAAAAATAAAAAAGTGTTCGTGATAAGCAAACATTATATATAAGCAAGATAAAAGTAGTACTGTTTAAGCTTTTGTAACAGAAGTTACAAGATCCAGTGCCTGTGGGAGGCAGCCAAATGAACTGAGTAAGTGAAGACAGCTAGGTGCGAGGCAGTGAGGAGTGGTGGGGATGGTGGTGCGGTGAAGAGCACATGCTATGTCTGAAGAAGGTGGTTTCTTCTTAGCTCCAGCTGATGTCTGTCATGTGGTATGACAAACCCAGTGTTGCTAGAGCTCCTGGGTTTTGAAAAGAAACTGAAACTCAGGATTTTTATGTAAAATATCCTTACACAGACATTCCTTGCAGATATTGTGGGTTTGGTTCCAGACTACCTCCATAAAGCAAATATCACAATAAAGTAAGTTGAATGAATTTTTTTATTTCCTAATGCATGTAAAAATCATGTTTACCAAAACAAGTTATGTTTATAGCATACTATAGTCTTAAATGTGCAACAGCATGGTCTAAAAAGAAATGTACACACCATAATTAAAATGTACTTTATTGCTAAAAAATGCTAACCATCATCTGAGTTTTTAGCAATTCATAATGTTTTTGCTGGTGAAGGGTCTTGCCTCAGGATTGATGGCTGCTGACTGAACAAGGTGGTTGCTGAAGGTTGGGGTGGCTGTGGCAATTTTTTTTTATTATTGAAGTATAATTGACATTTATATTACTTTCAGGTGTACAACATAGTGATTCGACAATGCTGTACACTATGCTATGTTCGCCATGATAAGTGTAGTTATTTCTTAGTTTTTATTATTGAAGTACACATACAAGGCAGTTTCTTAAAAATAAGACAACAGTGAAGTTTGCCACATCGACTGACTCTTCCTTTCACAAACAATTTCTCTGTAGCATGTGATGCCATCTGACAGCATTTTACCCACAGTAGAACTTCTTTCAAAATTAGAGTCAGTCCTCTCAAACCCTGCCTCTGCACTTATCAACTAACCATGCGATATTTCCAAATTTTTTGTCATTTCAAAAATCTTCACCGGGAGTAGATTCCATCTCAAGAAACCGCTTTCTTGGTTCATCCATAGGAAGCACCTCCTCATCCATTTAAGTTTTGTCCTGAGATTGCAGTATTTCAGCCACACCTTCAGGCTCCACTTCTAGTTCTTGTTGTCTTGCTGTTTCCACCACATCTGCAGTTATTTTCTCCACTGAAGTCCTGAACCCCTCAAAGTCATCCATGATGGTTGGAATCGTCTTCTTTCCAAACTCCTGTTCATGTTGATATCTTGACCTTTCCTCATAAATCATGAATGTACTTGGGTGCCTGGGTGGCTCAGTTGGTTAAGCGACTGCCTTCAGCTCAGGTCATGATCCTGGAGTCCCAGGATCGAGTCCCACATCAGGCTCCCTGCTCGGCAGGGAGTCTGCTTCTCCCTCTGACCGTCCCCCCTCTCATGTGCTCTCTATCTCTCATTCTCTCTCTCTCTCAAATAAATAAATAAAAAATCTTTAAAAAAAAAATCATGAATGTACTTAATGGCATCTAGAATGGTGAATCCTTTCTAGAAGGTTTTTGACTTACTTTGCCTAGATCCATCAGAAGAATTACTGTCTATGGCAGCTATAGCCTCACGAAATGTATTTCTTAAATAATGACACTTGAAAGTCAAAATTACTCTTGACCCATGGGCTGCAGAATGGATATTGTGTTATTAGCAAGCATGAAAACATTAATCTTTTAAAACACCACCACCACCAACATCATTAGGGGTGCCTGGATGGCTTAGTCAGTTAAGTGTCCGGACTCTTGGTTTCAGCTCAGGTCATGATCTCAGGGTCGTGAGATCGAGCCCCACATTGAGCTCTGTGCTGGGCATGGAGCCTGCTTAAGATTCTCTCTCTCTCTCTCTCTCTCTCCCCCCCCTTTGCACCCCCCACCCCTGCTCACACACGCTCGTGCTCTCTCCCTCAAAAACAAAAAAACATCAATCATGTACATCTCCATCAGAGCTCTTGGGTGACCAGGTGCATTGCCAATGAGCAGTAGGTCTCAACAGTAGGCTTAAAATAGTAAACCATGTTGTGAATGGGTATGCTGTCATCAAGGCTTTGCTGTTCCATTTAGAGAACAAAGGTAGAGTAGATTTAGCATAATTCTTAAGGGCCCTAGGATTTTTGGAATGGTAAATGAGCACTGGCTTCAACTTAAAGTCACCAGTTGCACTAGCCCGTAATGAGAGTCAGCCTGTCCTTTGAAGTTCTGAAGGCAGGCACTGACTTCTCTCCAGCTATAAACTCTTCTTCTAACAGAAGGCTGTTTCATCTATATTGAAAATCTGTTATTTAGTGTAGCCACTCCCATGAATTATCTCAGCTACATCTTCTGGATACCTTGCTGCAGCTGCTTCTACATCAGCACTAGCTGCTTCACCTTGCACTTTTCTGTTCTGGAGACGGCTCCTTCCATTAAGCCTCATGAACCAAACTCTGCTAACTTCATACTCTTCTTCTGCAGCTTCCTCACCTCTCAGTCTTCACAGAATTGAAGACAGGTAGGGCCTTGCACTGGATTAGGTCTTGGCTTAGGGGAATTTGTGGCTGGTTTGATCTACAAAAATTTTCTCCGTTTCAGCAATAAGGCTGTTTGGCTTTCTTATCATTCATGTATTCACTAGAGTAGTACTTTTAATTTCCTTCAAAACTTTTCCTTTGCGTTCACAGCTTGACTATAACTGTTTGGTGCAAGAGGCCAGATTTTGGCCTATCTCAGTTTTCAACACTGCCTTCCTCACTAAGCCTAGTTATTTCTAGCTTTTGATTTAAAGTGAGAGCCGTGCAGCTCTTCCTTTCACTTGAGCACTGCAAGGCCACTGTAGGGTTATTAACTGGCATAATTTCGATATTACTGTGTCTCATGGAATGAGGCCTGAGGAGAAAGGGAGAGAGCCAGGGGAATGGCCAGTCAACGGAGCAGTCATAAGATACACAACAATTGGCCATCTTATTTTTTTTTCCTAAAGTATATTTTATGATTTATTTTCTTGAAGTATAGTTGACACACAATGTGACATTAGT